GGGGGGGATAGTATAATATACGGCAACAAGAATGCCACAAAAATTGGGGACTGCGAGAACCGAGAAGAATAATGTCTCATCGGGACCGGGGATTGCATGACCAGCCCATAGAAATAAGTTGTACAAGTTAGCCACACGTATTAGCAGTTTCATTTTTCCTTAGCAAACAGATGCTTATGTACTTTTAAAGATAGAAGGAATAAAATAAATTCCTTTTAGTTTTATCTCTTTTCTTGTCCAAACGATGAGTTGATCTTATCATTTGAAAGTTAACAAAAAACTTCAAATGCTTGTGCCGTAATGAACAGAAGATGTCCTCTTCAAGAGCACCGTAAACATAAGAGGGCCCTCTCTTATGAAACCCTCATAGTAAAGGGTTGATTCCAGAAGAATTTATACCTGAAATCAGAAGCTATCGAATAAAAGTATGCCCGGTACATTAACTAATTTAACGCAAAGAGAATGTATTTTGCACAACACTTATCAAAGTGCCAAACTTGGTGAAAGGTTTGGCATAATTACAAAGTACAAAAATAAAAATAAAAATAAAAAGAAAGGAATAAAAAATCTAAACATTATGCCGCTGGAGCCCGAAGGAAGAGAGGGATCTACGCCCCCCTCCCCCCCTCGGTGAAAGAAGGTGGATTAGCTGCCGGTGGCTTGGATCTTCATCATCATCTTCTGCAACCTCCATTTCAGTTCTCGAATACTCAAAACCGGTGCTCGAAGAGTCAGTTGAAGCGGGACGATCAGTTAGACGTTCTCAGGCAGTTAGCTCTAATTCTCGGGCCTTGTCGATGTAATTATCAATATCGACGATGCCCGCTTTGGTCTTTTCCAAGGTTTTTCCTCCTCATATGATATATAGCATACGTCTTCTCAAATACGAGGGAATCCTCTTGATACTAAATCTTTGCCTTAAGTAAGTTAACCTCGGCCTGAAGGCCATCCCTCTCAAATGTCATGGCACCGAGGCTAGAAATAAGATCACGCATGGTTGATAGATGAATCCGGTTTTGATCCATGATCTTCTTAAATCTTTCCTCCATTTTTGGCCATCTTCTCCTCGGTGCATTGGCCTCCTCGGTTTGGAGCTCAAGGTTGCCTTTAAGTTATTCATTTGTTCCTCAGAGGCATACTCGCGCTCGGCAATAGCATGCACAATATCTTAGAGCTCAATCCACTTAGCCTTAGCCTCTTGAAGTTGTGCATGTAATTGAGTTTCTTCTTGGATGTAGGCCATCACTTCCTATTCACTTTTCTGCAACCGGGCCTCAAGCTCTCTCGCCTCTACAGCTTTTGCCTCGACCATCGGGAGATGCGCATTAAGTTGGTCCTTTTTGGCCAACAATTGATCCCATTCAGAAACGAGTCCTTGACTATCAAGGATAAATTTGTGCAGGCCCTCGAAAGCAATAAAGTTGGCATGTAAAGAAGAATATCAAGGTTAGAAATCATGTTACAACAGATAAATAGAAAACAAGTAATAAGAAAGCAAGTACAGTACCACTGCCACATTATGCATGGCATTATTTAACAAGCACTCCCCGAAAGGGAGCGTATTTTCTTCCTATCTTTCTCTGAAGCTAGCAGCTTCAGAAGTTCACAAGCTCCACTGACTTGGACAGCAGATGACACTTCTTTAAAAATGAAAGAGTGGCTCTCCTCCTCCCTCGGGGATCTGGGGAAGGGGGTGAGTAATTGTGCCCTAAATTCTATGGTCGGTAGATCGGGGAGGAGAAGCACCCTCCTCTCGAGCATCTGTTGCCGGTGGAGGAGATGCAGTGAGTGCTGGTGTTGAAGGTACATCTAGTGTTGAGGGGTGTGAAGTTGTTGGCGTTGAAGGTTGAGCATTAGCTGTGATAGGAGCATCGTTGATTATTGGTTGCTCAGTGTTCGAAGGCAGAAGAGGCCGGGGGTCCGAGCTCTTTGGACAAGAAATAACAACGGGGTTTGGAAAGCGAAAATCAACATCCTCTACTATATCTATCTCACCCCAAAGTGCTTGGACCTCATGCGCGATTGGGTTTTGAAGCTCTCCCAGTTGAGCGTATGGTTGAGCTGATGAAGTTATTTTTTTCCTCTGAGAGTAAGCATCCTCACCAGAAGCAAGTCTCCGGGCACTGCTTCGAGCAAGGGTACTTTGTAACACCCTCGCGACCTCCTCGGGGTCAGCCAAAATGTTAACCTCGGGGCAGGTGAAAAAGTCATGCGGCAGTCCTGAGTCAAGCAAAAAATGGGGTTAGCAAAGTTACCTATGTTCGTACAAAGACAAAAGGAAGACGGACTCACGTTACTGTAGTTCTTGGCCTTCTACCCATATTTGGGGGCTATTTTCTTCCACCAGCGGGATTCTGGTGTTGTAATGTCCAGAATCTTCTGAACCCACTGATATAGGCCTTGAACTTGTGGTGTTCCCACCAGGTAGCTAAAACAAAAGAAACGAAGAGGTCAACAATAATGGATAACAAGCTTTTCACTAAGAAAGGAAATGAGTCAAAAACTTACGAAAACAGTTCCCCGACTCAGGAAAAGACAGAGTTGTGGCTGGGATGATGTCCTTGGTGGCGATGATAACAAATCGCTCCATTCAGCTGTGATCGTTGTCATCGTCCACACTGTTGAGAAGAGCGTCATGGCCACATTTTCTGAAGTTATTACTCCCCCACGTAAAATTTTGAGGGAATAGGGTTAGGGTTTTCCCAGTCTCTGTGCACAACTTGCATAGGCAAGCCACTGTTTGTCATATAGACGAGCCTACTTATGTTAAGAAGACCCGATATCAGTAGCAGAATTTCAAAATTACAGGGTTGACCCCTTCACCCTCCCCAAGGAAAATGGACCCAAAGTAAAGGGGTACGTATAGATATACTTAAAACCTTTCTTGGTGAAGGTAACCTGCTCTATCATATCCGGAGCAAGGATGTTAAGGTATGGACAGTTGCAGTCCTCATTCACAGTAGGAATACTGGAAGGGAGAATAGAGGAGGGGTACTTACTACCGACCCAAGTCCGTGGAGACACATATGGAACCTTCTCTTGAAAATCATTGACGGTACTGAGGTGTTTGGGTATGATGGTGTTTACAGTGGGAGGCTCGAAATCAACATTAGCTTCTTTGTCTTTTTTTCTCTTCGGGCCTTCACCGAAAAGAAGACCAGAGTTTCTAAAAGATTCAGTAGAAGAAGCCATGGTAGTAAAAATGCAGTAAATGTTTTAGAGAAAGTTAGAGAAGATGAAAGTTTTCTAAGCATGAGGAGATTGAGTGCAGAGAAGACGATAAACTTATGAAAATTTTGGAAGTGAAAGAGGTAAAATAAAGAGTATATGTAAAAATATAGACGGAAAAAATCATGGTCATGATTACCTCGAGAACCGGCGAAATTATTGCTGAATCGTGGGGCAACACATATTCAGGATATTAAATGTGAGAAGACGTGCTTCTTTTCTTGCGACAGAGACTGTTCAGGAGATTTCCCGCCAAAAAAGGGATCTTCACTAACTTCCCGGTGACACCAAGATATGCCACCGGAAAGCAAGGGGACTATCTGTATAGGGTAAAATTAGTTTATAATAAATGATCAAATGATAGCATGACACGTGCCGATGACAGGTAAAAGGCAAATTAAGTAACAATCAGTACCGGAACAACAATTGCAATTGATATCGGGTAAATCCGAAGGGAGTACGGTCAACGGAAGCATATCGTATATTTGCCGTCGGATAACATTCAATGAAAAATATCCTCTGACATTAAGTGGGCAGCCGTTGTAGAGAATATTTGGATTCATAGCCTTTCGTTACATATTCATTAATGACTCCTTTATTATCATTTAAGTGGTGCTTGATCCTAGGATCTTGCTTTCCTAGGTATAACTATAAATAGCGGGCTCAGTTCGATTGTCTATAAACCACGTAACAAATTTAACTGTACCATTTTACGGGTAAACAACGGATGTATATAGATGTCGGCTATAAATTGATCAGGGAAATGTATATGTTATTAATTTCACCATAATCTTGAATGAGGAACATTAATCTTCAAGGGAAAGGCAACTTTTCTTTTACATTGAATTGCTACAAAATAATTTTTATTTAAGAAGGTTCTTAATTTGGGTGAGTCTTAGACCTTGTGACAAGAACAAAGATGATAGAAGTGAAATAATATACTCTGTCAGTTTCAAAACTTATATTTTGTATTGCTATAAGTCATTGCATAAAGGTAAATTATTTTCAAATATGAATAGAGGTCATTCTTTTTTACACTGACTAAAAATGAAATAGGTTCATACAAATTTGATACGGAGGAAGCAGTAAGTTATCCAATAAATGCTCTTAAGTAGTATTTTCAGAATAAGCAGGTTGATAAAGATCATTGCAAATGACCATACGTTATTTCATGATACATCAAGGGGAAAAAAACTGGAGATCGATAGCCGGTGGTTGAATATTAATGCTGCTTGCCTTCACATAATGGTGCAAGTTGGATTATAAGGATCATAAACGGGTTGGCATACTGGATAGTACTGACCACATATTGGAGGGCAAATTAGTGGGCATTTTGGACTTGGGTAACTTGTGTTTTTCGGACTAGCTGGCTTTTCCGGTTTCACGTCTTCCAAGCTCACAATGCTGGAACACCTGAATTTCTTCCTTATGCAATTCATCAGCCTGAAATAATCAACCCCTACTCCTATCACCACCAAATGCCCTTTTTCCTTGTCTACGTTCACCGACATTACCCCTGCAAATATATCCATACACTATTCTGTTAATTCCTTGCATCTTTTGTTCCAATACAGTGATTTTTAATTTGGGAAAAATTTCCCGGTGCTTGGTTGGAGAATATTGATCAACTTATGTTCCGGTAGAGCATTTTAAAGATAAAATATTAGCAAACCAGATATTTAATTTGTTGATGAAATTTAATTTTTAGTAGTAAAAATATATTGATATTAATGTTTAAGCTAAAGTAGTTATATGAAGTTAAGAGTAGTTGAGATAATTGTGTAGGAAAATAATAAGGGAGACCAAAAAGTTGAGCAAAAGAGTTAGTGCATAAATATACCTGCACATCTGACAGCAATCTGCATGGCCTTTGATCTACAGTTCTCGGTGTTGAGAGGGAGATCAATCACAATCTTTTTCTGTATGACGTTAATTAATTTATTATTATTTAGACCTAGCTAGATAAACATAGAGAAGAAAATAAAGACAAATCAAGAATATCACAAGCTTAAAGACTTAATTACCTTCATCTTCTTGTGAATTAAATGGAGCTTGACAATGAAGGGACATTATATATAAAGAGCCTGAATCGGTCTATATAGGGTGATGAGTGCCATATCGTCTTCTCATTCTTCTTTGACAAAGACAAATACCGTGTTCATATATATTAATTATATACTCCGTACTACTTACAATTGTTTTAGTGATCAAGAAACCACACCAACCATCCTATATCATTATCTAGTAGCCTAATTACATGATTGACTCAATCCTCGACTCTACTAAAAAACTAAATCAACTCCCCAAGTCTGCTTAATTAATCATGTTGTTGATTTGCTGGCCCGGAAGATCGACAATGACAAATCGGTAATACTCAGTTGGAGATGAAACTTAGCCGTCGTCTCACCCAATGACGTATAGCCAATAATATTTACATATCATGCAAATAGAGAGAAATTTAATTTTTTACTTTATAAAAACGTTTCAAGTTGCTCGATTCCAATATCCCACTGTCCAATCATTACTTGTTTTCTAATAAAATACTAGGTTTATATACTAGGAATATGGTCCCCACATCCCCCAACCAACTGAATTAGGTTGGTTTCCTATATAGGGGTACGTAGTACTCGTTGACCCCTGGGTAAAATAATGGAACTACAACGTTAAAGGAATAAAGCAACTACTGCAATTATTGAATCTGATGTTATTTTTGACCTTTACGATCGAGAGAAACTCAATATATTTTAGAAACTCAAGTTGCGCGCACGATTTTGATTGTCGTAATATAGTGTCGTATTTTAGCTTTGCCTTATATGTAACGACATTGGTTTTCCAAATAAGGAATAGGTATGAAATTTTGCGCAAAATTTGGCGATGGATTCTTTCATTTTGCTGGTTCAACTCTTGGATCAAAGGGGGTTTTCCGTGTTTTGAAACCTACTAATAATGAAAGGTTACCTATATATTGGCTTTTAAGCAACGTCATAGTGTAAATTTAGTTTAAACTGCCCGTGCAAATTAGATAAGTTATTAATGAAATCTCTGTTTCCTGTTTATAAAATGCATAATGCCGAATGCAATTAATCGCGTTTAAAGAAATCAATTTGTCTGCAGAACTTAAAGAAAACAACTAGCACATTCTTTAAATCATTCTGATCGTTTCATGATTTTATTTTTCTTCCACAAGCTTTTTATTTCGTGCAGTTGAAGCTTTCTATTACGTTTAGGCAGCACAGAGACCTCAGTCCTGAATAACACTACAAAAACACGAATATGGCCAACGATTATTGTCATGGCGATCAAGCTGTACACCGGTAAACTCGGGAGCAATGCATACCTCGATTTTCCGGTGAAAAAGACGGAAGGGCACGGACGCACGAGGTTGAAATCAAGGTTGTGAGCCTTTCGTACCGAGACCCATGAAAGGTGAACGATGTGCTCATCGTCGGGGGTAATAAAGCAATGCTCCCGGGACCCAAAACAAGCTCTAAGACCTCGGAAAATATGGCAAACGGTTACGAACGACTAACAGAGGGCCGTGATATCCGTACCTAACCGGATATCACGGCACAGATCTCACCCGATTTGGTTACAGATCAGTAATTAACAAGAAAGAGAGATTTTTACTTTTTTTAGACTTGTACTAGAGGTGAAGCTCTCCTACTATATAAAGGAAAAGTTTTTCTTTGATAACAAACTATGTAACACGCAAACCAAGGCAATATAATTTATTTTTCTTCTTCCTAGCTATTGAAAAGTTTTTACTTTACTGTTTGTTCTTCATTCAAAATTGGCTTCGCACCAAGGGTCTGATCGAGGGCAAAACTACTGATCAACCTAAGTTTGAGTTGGGTTGTAACATTACAATTGGTTTGATTACCCATTTTGTCTTTAACTCGTTTATTTGATATTCTTGATTGTTTGTGTTGAATCAATCCACATATCCTTAAAATTGCGTATAAATTTAATTGTTCTCTGTTTTAAGGATAAACAGTTTGGTGCTCACCATGTGGATAAGGATAATAGTGGTGGTTTGATACAAATCTCCATAACAAACTCTATTTTACGCTTGTTCTTTAAAGTCTTATTTTTAGGTCAGTTTAGATATGTCAAATTCTTAGTCTGCCCACTTGAAAGTTGACGTTGAATTTGGCAATAATGGCGAAAACAATAATCGAGTATATAGCAATGAGGTGTCTCCTGCTAATCCCAATGGAGTCCCAGTTGTCAATCCGGTCGATGCTAACTCATATGTGGCTATCGACGTCAATTTGCCAATGGATCCAAAAAACAATGTTTGCGGGGTACCCCGACCAACAACTCGAGAAGCGCCCAAATGCGATGGGGTAAGCCTACGGTTAATCTTCGAAATGTTGCAGGCTCAACATGCGGTGATCGCGCAGTTACAGAATCAAAGCCACGCCCGAGCAATCCCGAAAAAACATTAGAAGAAATGAACAGATCACCGAGAGACCGGGTGAAGCTAAGCCTGGGATCAATCCCGAAATAATAAAAATGCTTGAAGCATTAACGAAGCTGGTGGAGTCAGGTGAAAAGAAAATTGAGGCCAATGACAAGAAGGTGGAAACATAAAATTCCAGGGTCGAGCAAATCCGGGGAGCATCCCCGATATTGAAAGGGCCGGATTTCAAGAAGTTTATCCAAAAGCCTTTTCCTTCGCGCGCGCTATCAAAGACGATCCCAAAGAGATTTTGTATGCTTGATATCCCGAAGTATAACGGAATCACGAATTCGAATGAGCATGTGACCTCCTACACATGCNCCTCCCCCCTGCAATTCCATTGACTTGTTTTCCATGCTTGCATATGCTTTCATGAAAGCCCATGCCGGGGACATCAAGGTCGAGACTAGAAAGTCGAACCTTTTCAATTTTAAACAAATAGATAATGAGATGTTGAGGGAGTTTGTGTCGAGGTTCTAGATGGAACGAATGACCTGCCTCTGATTGCAGATGATTGTGCAGTTCAGGCATTCACTCACGGGCTTAACCCCTGAAACTCCTTGGCTTCACAGTAGCTGAAACATAATTTGGTAGAGTACCCGGCGATGACCGACGTACACAACAGGTACTGTTGACCTTCAATTTTGACCCTACGCATTTAAAAATTAACTTATGTAGGATTTCTAGTAAAAAATGACAAAACTATAGTTTTTTGCACATTATTTAGCTTTAATGCAATTTTTTGATAATTATTCCCATTTTTACAAAATATGGGAATTTCTATCATTTTATTGCAATTAGCTAAATACTACCGTATTTTTGCATTTTTCTAAATTTCAAATTATTTATTGATAATTTTTAAATATTAGGATATTCTATCAATTTGTTGTCATTTCAAGCAAAAATGAAATAATAATTATTACATCATTGTTGTATTCATTGCTATTTTTAAACAAATAATCAATTCATTATGTTTGCTAGCCGGAAAAAATCGCAAAACAGTAATGGTGACTCAGCTAGCCAAAACTCCAGATCTGGCCGGAATTCAAGTTCTCCGGCGACCCGTTTGTGCGTCGTTCCGATGGTCCCTCAGTTGTAACGACGCCTTGGACTACCCTCGCCGAGGTCTGGGATGTGAGCTAGATTAACAGGAGTATTAACGTACATGCGGGAATAGTACATACAGTTGAGGGAGTGATACTTAACATGAGGAATATAAGTTAGTTATTACTTTACTAGTTTACGGTAAAGTCCACTTACGTTTTAAGTGTAAGAACTGTTATATACACATTCACTCTTCTATGTTTTCCTATTTGGACACTTTGCGTCCTAGTCCCTAGTTAGGCATATCAATATTTGTATAGAGTTAAGCTCTTATTTGCTTTTTCAGGAAATGAACCCTAACAATTTTTTGCTTCTTCTTAGCTATTCCCCATTCAATTACTGCAATTTTCTTAATTTTTAGAATTAATTACAACAGTGGTATCAGACCAGGGTCCTCGCACTGTGGTATTCAACCATGTCTTCAGAATTTAAAGAGGTTTTGGATAGGTTGGATAGAATGGCTATTGATGTAGCTAACTTTGGGGTTCGTCAAAGTCAGTTAAAGAATGTTCTTGAGCAGGCTTTTCGTGAACTCAAAGAGTCTTTAGAGGTTGATCGCAATTCCGACAGAGATAAACAACCAGCCCAAATGGAAAATAGACGAGAAGAGATCTATTCTCCTACAGAAGGACCCTTGAGATGCCCAGGTACATAGAATCGACCCTCTACTAGTCGTTCTACCTTACAATCTGCACAAACTTCATCCCCATCTATAACCCTCACACCACTAGTGAACTTAGGTCGAAATATCCAACATCAACCCGTTCCCAAACCAATTTCCACCTAAATTCGATAAAACTAGACCCATTTTCAGCCGATTCCAGCAAAAATGCAAACCCCACACTTCCATCATGCTTTACCCTCACCTTTAAATTTTTTTTCATCACAAATACCTCCAACCATATACCTTTCAAATAACTAAAACCCTTGCCCTATGAACCCTTAACTCTATTACTCTTCATATCCTCAAAACGTTCAGCCTTTGTATCCCCAGAATTACTATACCCCAAATTAAATTACCTCTTATCCCAAACACAAAATCTTCAGTCAGTTACACGTTTGATGAAAATTGATTTCCCTAGATTAAGGGTGGTGTAACATCCCGGAAAATTTCGAAGAGTTTTAAGACCATTAAGGAGATTGACATGTGCTAATTATATTAATTCGGGTATGAACAAGACTGATAATTTGAATAATATCAATTGATAATGATAATATATGTATGAGGTGCATTAATAATGGTTTATGGTCTAAGAAGAGTCCTAAAGCTAAGTCAAGTTGAAAAGTTTATGATGGGATAAAGTTTCAAGTGAGTTCACACAAGACCTAATTTCAAACAAGCATAACTCTCACGATATGTAGATTTATATGGTTTATAACCTATCAAAAGAAAGGTCTAGTTTTCTAGTTTCTAATACTTCAAACCGTTTGTCATTTGGAGATTCCTACAAGAAGTTATGATATGTTTACTAAATGATGTCAGAACAGCTACGCGAGTCTTGCGTAACTTACGCAGAGGCAAATCCAGTAGCTTCAA